TTTCATGCTGCATCTTATGGTATATAGCATGTCTGGAATGACCACTTCGATATCTGACCATTCCCTTGTAAACTGTTCTTACTCAATTTCACCATGAAATTCCATATATAGCGATACTTCCTGGATCGACATGAACTCTCAATAGTTTAACATTTCTCTTTGAACTATCAATTCTGAGCTGTCCCCACTTTCATAAGAGGCAACTGGGCGGTATGTTCCAAACTCAGGTTTAGGCATGTGCTCTCGTACAGGTCGTAATCCAGTCAGATGCAAGTGCCTATTTCTATGATGCGCGAACGTGGGCGCCTGACCGTGCAAGAGCCCGGTCAAGCAGAATCGGGTAGGTCTGGCCACCTATCTAATCTCGCTTACTATGAATAGTGTGAGATAGCGCATCTCTTTGAATAGGTGGCCGAAAATGGTAATAAATCGAGCGATTTATTCACCAGTCAACATGTATGATTCAAAAATTGTTTTGCTGTAAGGGGTTCATCTAATTTGAGGTTTGATTTGATTTAATCTCTCTTGTGAATTCTGTAAGCGTAGGTGCACAGGAACGCACACGAAAGAACTATGTTATGAGAACAAGATATAAGACGCAGACATAGGTGCGATAGGGGGAGCCGGGCTCTCCCCAGGTGAAGGGGGTCTCGGCTATTCCCGACCTTCCAGGGTGAAGGGGGTAAGTGAGTCTAGGGGGGGGGGGGAAGAGAGAAAAGGTAAAAAAGCGTGGTATGAAGAGCTCTAATTTGTACCTTGTTTGGGCACAAATTAAAAAAAAATTTCAAAAATTTTAAAAGAAATTAAAAAATTTTAAAAAAATTGACTATATGAAGATCTGTGCTCCTGTTTCATTGCATCAACAAAAAACGAAAGCAATAAGGTTTATCCCAAAAGATGTACAAGTTAGTCCACTTCAATTTCTGCACATCATCATCAACAATATCACTATCGCTAACGTCAGAGACAACAAGTTCGCTGCCTGAAATATCTTCTTCTTCCTCCAAAAGGTCATCGGAGTAGAAGTAGAATTGCGTGCAAAAGCGTTCTGAGTCGAAGATGGATTTGAAACTTTTTTCTTCTTCTAAGCGCTTTTGTGATTTTTTTCCTGGCCCTCTGGTAGCACCAGGAAAGTCAGCAGGTGACCAGTTTTTCAAACCATCTTCTAGGATATTTCAAAAAGTCATACGGTAACAGCTTGTCTGGACCACTTATACCAATCCTTTAAATGAAGTTTTTAAATAACAATATGTTTAGTAGAAGGTTGACAAACCTTAAGTAATTGCTTAGATGCTCCATCGTTGTACGACTTCTGCGTTGTGTTCTGATAACAGAGTAGATAGAAAATTTCTTTTTCCACCTCTGCCGTGCTGGTCGGAATGGAAATTAGCTTTGCTAATAAGTCCATCAGATTTTTGCGGTAAGTAATGGGGAAAGAGCCAGATCGCAACACGGGAGGAAATATTGCATACTTTTTTGGGCCTTGTCGAACTCTGGCTTCACCTCCTCTGGCATACGTCTTGTTAACTGATGAGAAAACTGCTCAACTTCTTCTTTAACAGCATCGCGGAATAGCCGAAAAAAGTAGATACTATGCTGCGCGTTAGTTTTTTTTTTCAATACCATAGGTCATAATGTCACAAGGCGAATAACTTCCAAAAGCATATAGCACAGAGTTGGGTTCGCACTCCAGTCGGGATCTAAGAGCAGTAGCTATGCTTTGTACTAACACCTTCCTTTTGTTCATGTCCATGTTTGTGAATTTAGCAGCCTTGAAATCTTCAGCAACCTGAAGATCAGCAATGGACTTCCTGGACATTTCCTCATTGAAACTAGGCAATCTGCTTGGATTCCTTATGTAGGAAATCAGAGAGTTCGCTCAATTGTCAACTCTGTATCAATGTCGACAACATTTTCGTCGGCGTAAGATTCTTTCTGCCTCGCTGTTGAACTGGAACACATGCGAGTCATCTGCGATTTTGTAAAGTATTCTGCCTGCCGCTTCCTCTTCAAACTGCCAACCTTTCCAAAACATTGAGGGATATTTTAATAACATGTTATTCTTCTGAATGTCTTAAAAATTTTGACTCATTGAAACCAACCATTCTCTACAAATTAGGTAAGGTGAGTCTAGAGCATTTTCACGAAAGTGACCTTCTTCAGCACTAGGTTTACAGAGTATAGATTCCAGAAATGGGCGGGTTTTGTGTGAAGATGTGTAAATTCACCAATCTCCCATACTTTTTTGAGTGTGTGCTAATAATGATGGCATAACTGTCAATCAAAAGCGCATTTTTTACCAAAAAACATAAACATATAACAACGATAAGCATAATAATGATGGCATAATTGTCAATCAAAAGCGCATTTTTTACCAAAAAACATAAACATATAACAACGATAAGCACGCTTAAATAGATGCGTTCGCTCACGTTCCCGTTAGTGCTGATAAGGATGTCAATCCACAACACATTTTTTACTATCAACTTGCTCCACCTCGCTCTTATTAGGTCGTCCCGAAAGTTGCGCACGATTTTCAAAAATTCATAACTTCTGATTTTTTCAACCGATTTTACTGCTTTCACGTTTATGTGAAAGTGTAAGTCATGTTCTTCATAATGACATCTCAGTGCTTAGTAATGGTCATCTTGCATAGATAGGAGCGATAGAAGAAAATAGTCAAAATTTGAATTTTCTGTGTAGGGTCATGAAAAATCGGAGACTTGCAACAAAAATCGGAGCAGTCATATTGTAGGTTCTTTCACCAGCTCTTTTTAACAGTGCGAAGTTCGCGCCGATTGAGCGTTTCTATGGAAAGTTATGATTTCCCTGAAAAATGCCAAAATAAACCAAATTCGCCCTTTTGTATTGCTTGCTCGAGCTCGAATCATAACTTTTCATAGAGATCCTCAATCAGCGCAAACTTTGCACTGTTCAAAAGAGCTGGTGAAAGAACCTACAATATGACTGCTCCGATTTTTGTTGCAAGTCTCCGATTTTTCATGACCCTACTCAGAAAATTCAAATTTTTACCAATTTTCTTCTATCGCTCCTGTCTATGCAACAGATGACCATTAGTAAGCAGATAAGATGTCATTATAAAAAGCATGACTTACTATTTTATACGAAAATAGAAGCAGTCAAATCGGTTGAAAAAATCAGAAGTTATGAATTTTTGAAAATCGTGCGTAAGAACTTTCGGGACGACCTATACAATGTGTTGGCTTTTACGGGTCACCGGAGCAAAAGATTTTTAGAGCCGGGAAGCAAAGAAGCCCTAACATGCTATAACCGTTCGAAAGCTGAGATCAAGTAGAATCGAAGTAGACCGTCGCCTTTTTTCTAGGTCTTCTGTGCCGCGAGATATGAGGGATTTTATGTGCTTCAAAAATTAACTGATTTTGTGTCCTCACTTTCTGCTCTCCAAATGAATGCCACGAGAAAGTCGACGGTCTAGGTTTGTTAATGAAGTCTTGCTCTTTAACTCTTTTAGACAATCAACAGTAATTAGGTCTCTATTTGGCAGAAATCTGCTGTTGAAAATGACCATGTTTTCAGATAAAATGCGGTGTATCTCTCGGTAGAGGGGGGCTAGAAAGAAGTCGACGGTCTAGATCGAATCCCCTTTTCCTGAGCTTTCGAATGGCATATAGGTTGCTGGGCGAAAAAACTAACCAGTTTTCAAAGATGGGGTGGAGATATTTACTATTAGCTTGCTCCACCCAGCTCCACCAATATATTGGCTTTTATCGGTTACCGGAGCAAATGATTTTTAGAGCCGGGAAGCAAAGAAGCTCTAATATGCTGTATACCATTCGAAAGCTGAGATCATGGAAAATCGACATAGACTGTCTACTTTTTTCTAGGTCTTCTGTGCCGCGAGATATGAGAAATTTTATGTGCTTCAAAAATTAACTGATTTTGTGTCCTCACTTTCTGCTTTCCAAATGAATGCTACGAAGATAAATAAATAATATAAATAAACATAAATACCGTTTTTTGTAAATTTATGGGTGCACTTGTTGTTTGAGGTACTTAGCCTGCAAAACCTTTTAATAACGATTTTTATCATATTCTCAGAATACAATACCAATCTCAGCCCAGGTGAAGGGGGTCATCGGGAGTTTGGCCTCAAAGTGAATGGGGTGAGATACATCACTCCCCCTATCGCAACTAAGGACGCAGATAAAGGATTAATATGTTATGAGAATAAGATCAACTGTTACAGGTATGATGACGATATGCATTCCGCAGTGTGGTATATAATCTACCACCGTGACACCCGAGGACAGTCCATTACCAAGCCTCGAGGAGTTGAGCTAAAGATAGGACGCCTACTGGCTGCCCGAGCTTTCCCTCCACGACCACAGGCCGATCCCGACCAGTAATTCATACATCCAGTAGAACAGTCTTCTCGTTGTTTTATTCATTCGCCTTAGTGTATTGCTTTGTTCTCGTTTCATAGTATATTAGATAAACTGTTAGTCTGGCTAGTGTTCGCGTAACTACCAACCTTAGCCGCTTCCATGGCGCCTACGTTGAGTATACCATGATTGCATCAAATCAAATTTCAAATCAGAAAAATCTTTTGCATTATAACAATTATTGAACTTTTCTCGTTGGATAAATCGCTGATTGAGAAGAAGATTCCGCATGCCTTTGTAGTTGATTTCTCAAGTCTTTGGAGTCCAGTTCAATAAATTGTAGGTCTTAGTGTTTGTGTGTTAAAGTAGATATGTCCAACATAAAGGTACACTCGAATGTTAGTGTTCAGCTATACTGAGTGATCAAAGTGGAAAGTTGTCTTCGAATGCGGCATAAAGTCGTTCCCTTTCTTTAGAAATTCTCTGTTTAAAGATAAAAAATGACATGAAAGATTACGACATCAAATGTCAAATGTAGAATACTGAACAGATATCATATAGGTTTGATTTGCTCATTTATTGGTTTTTTTTTTTGATGGAAGAATAGTTTCAAAATTTTACTACGTAATAAAAGAAACACCGTTGCCATCCCTTGAGTGAACACTTCATAGAGGGATGCTACACTATAAACACAAACATAGTTGTTTAGACACTTCTAAATCTCATTTTATCTGTGCAGTTGTACAACTTGTTGATATTATTGATGTCCGATTTTGAAAAGTACTGCCGTTCATAGTCTTTAAAATTAGGAAAAGGGTAATGCATGATAGACTCTGGGTCGTAATTGCCCATGTAGTACGCAAATGTTCTCGAGAAGATCATATGATTGAGAGCCGGGTGTGGGTCAAGCGCTGCATCAATAAGTGGATTGCGATCGTCTCTGAAAGCGTCTTGCTTGAGTTCCGTATTCAGAGTTTGAAACAAAGTTTCCTGCTAACCTCTGATGTTCGTGATGAAAGCCGATAGCGTGCATTAGTTCATGAAGTATCATAGATTGATAAATGCAATCAGCATGCAGATTTATCTCTGTTTTGAACTTGCCCTCAGGTGTACGAGCTCTTGTTTGACGACCGACCATGCTCCGACACTCCCCTTTTCCGTTTTTTCCACCATCATTTGAGATTGATAAGTAATACATATCACTTGGAGTTCGCGGTCGAAATTTTATGCATGTGTGTTTGCGAAATGCATCCATCGCCAATTTGATTTCACTTCGTTCTTGAGAATTGTATTTCGGTGACATTTCATATGGAACTTCTCCTTTTGGCCACAGGCTAAATAGAGTCCTGGTCTTGAATAGAAGCTCGGAAGCGTTTGTAGAAAATCTAATACCGTGAATCCCATTGATCACGACGAAGCACAAGTCCTTTGAAATGGCTACGTTTGACGGCGCCCACACTTCTTTTATTAGCTTCATCTGATCCACCAAACAACTAAGAATAGTGTGATAGAAAGCATCAAAGAAGTCATGTGATTTTCACAAAATCACATAACTTCATAAATGTTTTTTTGTTGCTAATTATGTCCTAACTACTTTCATGCCCGTTTTGAATGTGGCACATCTTCTACTCATCAAATGGGTAACCAGATAAACATAACATTAGGTTGTTCAAAGATTAATGACCGTTTCTTGCGCGATCGCAGAGGAGTAAATATATAATTGCAGGAAACATATCATTTGGTAGAGAAAAGCAAGCTCTACAAGATGGCGTTCCAACAATTGTAGAAATCGATTTATGCGGCTCTGAAAGCAGAGTCTGGAAAAAAAACCAAAAACCTAAAAATTGGATCACGTCCAAAGCGCTTCTGCAACTCTCTAATTTGGTCAGGCATACACACTCCACATCTGACATTCATATACGCCTTACTGCAAAATTTTTTTAGGGCTGAAGATTGAAAAACAAAAATTGGCAAAGAATTCGAAAATATCGCGTTTTTTGGTTTCTTGTGACAAACGTGATATTTTTCGGAAACGAGTGCTTGCAGAAGGCTGAAATTATACGGTTGTACTTACAAAGGTTTGTAGTATAGCATTACCTATGTAAGAGCACCCCAGCATTGCATTTGCTGGAGCATGCTAACTTTTAATAGGTCGTATAATAAGTTCTGTCCCATTTTTTTTCGATTTTTTCTCATATTTTGCGCGATGTTCTGTAAATTGTTTTTATACAATTGAAAGCTCTAAGCCTTCTTTACTAAAACTTTCATTTCGGTTTTCTAATCAAATGACTTGCAAAAGTTTTAAAGCGTCAAATTTGAAAAATGAAACAGGGAAAAAGTCTATTTTTGATAATTACGTTACGTCGTTTTCCTAATAGTCAGAAAGCCTACGAATAAGCTCGAAAAATTTGCTACACGTAAGCAAAGAATGCTTTAGCTTCTTTGCGTTTCAGAAGTGCTGAAACGTTTCAAAAATCATTTCTGTAGACTTTAGAAAAGTCTTCTTTCTAACGCTTTTTCAACGTTGGTGCTGGGCTTCATTTGTAAAATTCCTGAGGGAAGACGGTAGGCAGATCATCCAGAAAAGACAAATGGTGGTTTGTGGCTTCAAAGTTATCGAATTCGTAGGTTAAATACTCAAAATTCAAATTTTGGGAGCCGCACAGCTTGCACGCGGCGAACATTGCCGCAATCTTTCCTTGCCGACTTTCAATGTTGTGTCAATGTCAATGTTGTCAAGAAAAAACTAGAACAAAAATGGGACAGAACTTACTACACGAACTAATAGTTTGCTCACTTCTAAGCGTGAAAAAAAAATGAAGCAACTGTGCATATGAATGTCTGATGTGGCAATATGTACTTGACCAAGTTGGAGATTCGAAGAAGCGTTTTGGACGGAAATCTGATTTTGAACACCCTGAACTTCTCCACACTTTGCTTTTTTTACTTTATGTGGATCAAATTTTTTTGCGTCTGTTCATATGCCATCTTATAGGGCTTGCTCCCTTATGAATGATACATTGAGTTGGCTCGAAAGTTCTTGCGTAATTCAAAAAAAATTCAATAACTTTTCAATGCCTAAACTTAAATTCACATCCTTGTTCTCTAAAAATACTAGAAGGCTTGCGCTTCATGATGGACGTTTAAGCGCAAGATTCTATGGGCTAGACATCGAGAACGAAGCTCTCAAATATGGGGCTTTAAAATTTGCGATTTTGAGTTTGGTGCCAGAAAATCGCAGAGTGCCGCTAGCTAGCCGAAAAAAAATCTGTAAAAATTATTTACACAGCAGAAGTCCATATATTACTTTGTAGGGCTTTGATCTTGTACGATGAAACGGAAACAAAAAATTCGTGAAATATGTCATTTTACGGAAAAAATTCACTACCGCAGTTTTTCGGCGAAAACACTTTTCTACACTCCAAAAAACGTCGCAAGGTTCTAAATAGGCACTATGTCTTATTTCTGGTTGTAAACTGTGATTTTGTGGAAAAATTGCAGCAATAAAGGGATTTATCCTGTAAAATGACATATTTGGCGAATTTTTTGTTTTCGTTTCACCATACAAAATCAAAGCCTTCCAAAGTAACATATAGACTTCTGCTGTGTAAGTAATTTTTACAGATTTTTTCGGCTAGCTAGCGGCACTCTGCGATTTTCTGGCACCAAACTCAAAATCGCAAATTTTAAAGCCCCATATTTGAGAGCTTCGTTCTCGATGTCTAGCTCATAAAATCTTGCGCTTGAACGTTATCATGGAGCGCAGGCCTTCTAATATTTATAGATAACAAGATTGTGGATTTAGGTTTAGGTGTTGAAAAGTTATTGAATTTTGTTTGAATTACGCAAGAACTTTCGAGCCAACCTAATACATTATGTTCCATTTTTCTATCTACCCTGACTCGACTGCGTAATGGTCATCATTTCCGGGCAAACTAATAAAACTTTTTGTGAATCTCTGAAAGTAAGTTTTCAGAAACAATCTAAAGCTGATTCAAATTTTCCCTTTATTTCAAACTTGTTTGTTGTATGGAATACGTCCTCCAAATCGCCCAAACTTTAACAACCGTTTAAAACTGCTATGTTGGGCCCGTACCTATGGGAACGGAACAATCTGTGTTGCAAAAATAATGAGCGTATTTCAAGGTCTTGATTCAGGACAACATTATTTTATCAAACTTTCTTCTTTGGATAAGACTCAGCAATGTATCAAGAAGCTTTTTATGCCCTATTTGCAGATGGTCAGAATAGGTTTACAGCTTCATTTGTTAAAAATTAGAGCTTCAAACAACCATACTCGAAACCAGAATTTCATTGCATTTACATTTCTGGCCATAATTCAAGCACGAATGGAGGCATTCTTTTAGGTATTCAGCAACTGCACGTAATGGGAATTGTCTACATTGCGCACACTTTACTATTTTCTCAGAAGTTATTTAGACACAGATATCGAAGCCTCAACATGGGTAGTCGTTCTGGTCATTCCGTGGCCGATAAATTTGTCTTGAAGAAGGCAATCGTCAAAGCTTTGCTCACTTCTGTCAACATAGATATAGGCCTCCCGCTGACAGTTTTTACATAGTGTTTAACTGTACGCAGAAAATCGAAAAAAAACTTTTCATTTGGGACTTTGAGAGCTACGAAGAAATGTTGGAAAAAAATTTAGCAATTTTGGATTTCAGTTTCTCCTTTTCGTAGATCCTCCTTGTCCAAGTCCTTTTCATCTCCTTTCGTACTACTGGCTTGCGGCTAAGATAGGCTACTCATCATCTAAACTATTACGAATACTGCACCCGTTTTGCAAGATAAGGCTTTTGTGAAGGCTCTTGATGAAAATGGCTTGAAAGGACCAAAAAATGGTCTATTCACACACTGTAACTTGCTATGACTACATAATAAGTCGTTGTTGGCGAGCGCATGAGAGTTGTAGTCAGCGTGCTTGAGAGACCTTTCTAGGCAAAGTTTAGAACAAGTTTGGCTTTTCCAGCCTACCTTAAAAGACCGTGACCCGAGGAAATAGCGCTACCGTGCACAATAATACGGTATCCGTGTTCAGCGTGCTAAACATCCCCTTAAAAGAAGGTTCGACAAAGAAACACGGATCTTATTTCTAGAATTAACTGATTTGGGGGCCAAAGCTGCGGCTGACGCGGCTGATGTTGCTGACGGTTGCTAGCGGCAGCTGTCATCTCGGTATAAGGCACCTTAAAGGCACCGTCGACCCTAAATTAGGAGTCTTAAGCTGTCGGCATCTACGGCAGGAGGACCACCTATCAAGCCAATGTCCACGTCGCGCACAAAAAATCGCTTCGGGAGCGAGAAAACCACTCCGGAATAACGGAGAGGCGGGAGAATCCCAAGCACCGCACTTCTCCAGTAATGTCCGCCCGTGCGCGCCCATCCAATCATCGTTCCAAAGAACCGGCTTGCGGGTTCTGCGGAACAAGGTTGCCGGGTTTTTGCGGATTCTCAACTTCATGTACGGCATAAGGGACAACATGAGAAAGCCCTAAAACGGCAAAAACGCAGAAGTCGAGATTGGATAGACGGTTCCCTCAAGGGCGCTTCACGTCTATTTTATGCGCGCATGCAGTGTTCGCTCTGCATTTATCTGCTAGGACGATGACTAACATGGGTGAATAAGGCGAAAGATGACTTTGGCCCTCATCATCTCTGCAATCAAAAATCATTTTTGGAAGATAACTTCTGACTCAAATTGAAGCGTATAGTGCTAACCTGAGAAGAACGGACGTTCTTTGAGGGGATGGCAGGGATATTGCGAAGAGACTGATTAGGCAGGTGGGCTTCAACATCTATAGATCGCTGTTTAGAAGTGGCTCATGTAGAAATATAACGCAAACCTGGAAGGTCCTTATCGTTTGACGAAGTTGTGACAACATCTGCCAGCGAGACGAAGGCAGAGAGCAGAAACAGCATTATATATAGCATAATGGATGGTAATTCTCACTATCAAATGGATTCGTTGTGTACGTAAAGGACTATATCTAAAATTCACCCACGCGTGACTATTGTGCAAAAGTAATCAGCTTTTACATTATTCTTAAAGCATCTCAGGCATTGCGGAAAAGGGGGGGGGGAAGGGGAGACACAGCAAATGATTAAAGGTCGGGGGCTGGAAGTAGTACTCTTATCTCTTAAGGTTCGCTCGCAACCTTTTTACGAAAAACATTCCAAAGATCTTGCTGGTAAGAAAGCTAAACCACAAAAATGCCGGGTGCCTCGAAGCTTTCTCAAGCTGTATTAGAATCGGCGTATGGAAAGCAGAAGATGTACAAATTCTTGTGGTGGTTCTGCTATTTGGTGAAAATTTGGTGCATGAATTAGAGAGTGGGGCTGTGGCCATAATATGGTTGAAGGTTCTGCTCTGATGTCAGCAAAATCTGGAATGTGTCTATTTTGTCGACAATGCCTTTCCAAACGGTGGCTCAATGAGATGGATGCCGTAGAATTTCTGTTTTAGATATAGGCTCCATAGTTCAGTGCCACAGTCCATAGTTGCCTCAGTCCCACCCTCGAACCCATGTGTTGAATTCTGCTTTGATTTCTTAGCACAATTGGGGTCAACGTGAAATTGGGAAACTATTTTGTATTGAAAGTACCTCAAGAACTGGCAGAGGTCCATTTAGTTAGATTTTTGTCTATTCTTTCGACTTACCCGAGTTCTGTCAGTGTGCAGACAAAAATGGTCAGAAGTCGAAGTAGCCAATTCAAACAAGTTGCATACTATTTGGTGTAGGATAAAATGACGATTTGAAGTCTGCGCTCAATTGTGGAAAAAGTTATGAGCGGTTAATTGCAGAAAAATCATACATGGCAGAGGTCCATTTTGACAGATCTTTGTCAAATTTTTTTCTCGAGTTCTTTCAATGTGCCGACAAAAAGTGGTCAGAAGTGGAAGAACCCAATTCAAACATATTGCAAACCATTTGATGTAGGATAAAACGCCGACTTGAAGTCTGCACTCCGTATTTGCGAGCTCATTTGTTGAAGAATTTATGAGCGGTTTTATTGCAGGAAAATCTTATATTGATTGCGAAATTGGGCAAATCCCCCATAATGGTCGGTCGCCTCATCGTGGCGTGGGGGTGACACTGGGTGTCGAACTGCGATGCACAGCCGAGTGTATACTCTGATGGCCTCCCAAGCTGTGAAGGAGTTCGACGTTTCCGGTTTCGGCCGGATGCCTAGCTAAGAACCGGCCACGCCAGATCCCCCGCCGTCTGGCTTCTTCTGGTCGCTAGGCGGTCCTCCCCGCTCCAAGCCCGGGGTCAGCGATCGCCCCGTGGAAATCAAGAGTAGGCCTAGTAAGCCACCTCTTGTAGGGGAAAATTCATATTACCTCCTCCAGTTAGAAGATTAGAAGAAACCCTGCACATCGTATCCCGCCTACGGCGCGGTGGTAGCAAGAACGATGTCAGGGTACTCAGGGCGCCTTTCGGATTGGACAAGAAAGACACGTCTGCCCGGACGACACGCCATGGAGACTGCCTCATGCTCTGCACCTACAACGCCAGGACAGCCTCACAAACGTCGACCTCCACGCTCTTCTCGACACTGCAGAGCACATCAACTACCACTTCATCGCTCTGCAGGAAACGAAGTTCAGGAAGAAGGACGTGCGACAGATCAGTGATGGGACCCTCATCATTCGTGGTGAAAAGGTTCCATCACGAAACGTGGGAGGCGTCGGCTTTGTCGTCCACCCATCTATCGTCCATCTTGTCGATTCGCACGAGATCCTATCACCTCGACTAGGCATCCTACGACTACGCCCTCCACGTCAGAAGACCATCAGCATCATCAACTGCTACTGGCCAACATCAGCAGCTGAAGACTCAGAACTAGATGCTTTCTACGAAGACGTGGAGGAGGTCGTCCGCAACGAAAAGTCCTTCTACAGTATGTTGTGGGCGACTTCAATGCGAAAATCGGGATGCCACTAGAAAAGGACTATATTAGGTCGTTCCATAAGTTCGTAGCGTTTTTGTTAGTCAACAAAATCATCAATTAACAGTAAAAATCAATCAAATCTGTATTCCTCGTCGTAGCGCACGACCTTTTGGCACATTCTTGTTAGTCTCAACCTCAATTTTTCAAACGACAGCGCGCCGGGTCCCAAAAAAGTCATTTAACCAGCGCTCAAACTACTTACTGAAATCGAGACAGGCACCATGCATGAGGATTGCCAAAGAGCAAATAATAATCTGATAGAGCGAGATTTGGAGAGTACTTAGGGTACTAAAGTACCTTCCAGTCGAATCGTGCAGGATAGTTTTGACGACGTTTGCCGTATGAGGCCATGTTTCGTCATGCAGAAAAGCTCACTGGATCTGTCTGTTAGGCTTTTTCTGCGGTAGGACCTGATTCAGGCGGTCTAGTTGACTTGCTTTCGGTATGATTGACCATCGCCTACATGTACAGCAATTTTCAGTGCAGGATGTCCTGCCCGTCCCCCGTGTTTGAAAAAGGCGCAGTGAAAGATAAAATGTTCACTGCATAGAGAGATAAGTAGCGAAAAGCGAAGTAGCACAAATTAGCCTGCTTTTATATGGAAGCAACAACATGAAGAAAGTGAGCTTAATGTGTATTTGCATATTGTGCGCCAACCATTAGACGCATTAACGCATTCAATCGTGCATCCAAACTAATTCTCAATTCATGTAAGGACAGATAATACGAGTAGACAAATGGCTGACAGCATGATAAGTGATTATCAAAACATCAAGCACAATCATTACGAATGTCCTTAAGTGTACAATCATCTTGGGTCTACGAAGAATTACTAATTAAGCTCACGATTTGAAACTATCTTTTGTAGAATTACAAAAACGAAAAGTCTTGTACAGGGACACCCTGCTCAACCCTTGATCTTTTGTAGCAATCCAATTCTTTTTTGTCTCATATTGATGTGCGAACGCCATGCTCCATAATCGACACAAAAATTTGTGCAAAAGCGCTTCTTTCCATGAGGATAAATGTGCAAATGCCGAAATTGCTCCTTTTTGCTTTTCAAGATTATCATCTTTGGAAGCTGCGAAATCCGACTGAATCAGCTTTCCACCGAAAACAGTAGACGCATTTTAAAGAGCACAATCAGCTCTTCCAAATGATGTACGCCTTTTGCCGCAAACCACCCGCTCCTCAAAGATATAAGGGCTAAAATGAAAACGCTACGAACTTATGGAACGACCCAATATATAGGATCGCGAAGTGTGGGTACGGGCTCTGAAACGAAAACGGCAACCGTCTCGTTGGGCTTCTCTCCGCCGCACGACTCTTCCATGGAAACTCCATCTTCATGAAGAAGGAACATCGCCGGTGGACTTGGGAATCGCCCAACGGAACGACTCATGCTGAGATCGACCACATTCTCACCAACCGAAGGTGGTACTCGATGCCTCTGTAGTTTCATCCTTCTGTAGTGGCTCCGATCACTGCCTCCTTCGAGCGAATGTACGACTCAGCCGAAGGCTGGAAAAGAAAGTCTGTCACAGTGACGCGAGAAGGAACGAAGTCGTTTATAACGGTAACAGGCTGGAAGAGCTTATATCAAGTTGTGACTGGCCCATCGAGGAGGACCCAACTTACGACTACGACCGGCTTCTGAAAGGATTGCGAGCTTGCGGAGAATGCGCCTCAGTGACATCTGAGAAGAACTTGGAACGCATTTTGAAGATCACCAAGGAATTGCTCGAAAGAAGAAGATTCTTGAGGCAGGATCCGAATGCAACCCATCTCGAGCGACCGATAGCCAACGCCAGTTGCAGAACAGCTTTGCAAGAGGATCTCAGGAAGTACAGGCAAGCCAAGATACTGGAAGCAGCCGAAAGAAGACGAAGTCTCAAGAAGTGCCGAAGGGACCTATGCGAATATCACGTACCGCTGGCTGCACTACTGAACGAAGACGGGACTCCGACTTCTTCCCGATACAAGATGGAATCTATCGCGAAGAACTTTTACACCAACCTCTTCCGCTCATCAACACCCGTGCCGATACTCGTTGTTCCCATTGGAGAGATCCACCGCAAATTCTACTGCTGAAGTGCGCGCAGCGATTCAGACCATGAAGACGTCCCGGCTCCTGGAAATAACCATCTTTCCGTTGAGTTTCGGTGAGCCGGAGGACAGCGTCTACACGAGATTCTCGCGTCGCACCTAACATCTTACCTTCAGAAGGAAAGGATTTCCGACCAGTGGAGAACGTCAAGAACTGTCCTTCTCTTCAAGAAGAGTGAACGGGAGGATCTTCGGAACTATCGTCCGATATGCCTGCTGAGTGTGCTGTACAAGCTTTTCACGAAGATTATCCTCGCTCGCATATCAAGGACACTGGATGAAGCTCAACCTCAAGAACAAGCTGGATTTCGCAAAGGTTCAGCTGCATGGACCACATCCAGACCGTTTCGAGGGTCATAGAAGTCTGCCGGGAGTACCGACTGCCTCTCGTCTTAACCTTTGTCGACTACGAAAAAGCCTTTAACAGCGTCGAAACCAACGCCATCCTGTCTGCACTAGTCGATCAAGGAGTGGACCCAGCTTACGTGAGGACGTTAGCCGACTGCTACAAGGACTGTACAACGACGATGCAGCTATTCCATCGCCCCCTGACCATACCAATCGGGAAGGGGGTCCGACAAGGCGGCACAATCTCGCCGAAGGTGTTCACCGCGGCCTTGCAGTGGGTGATGAAGTCACTGGACTGGGACGAGAGAGGCATACGAGTTGATGGGAGATTCCTGTCCAACCTTCGTTTTGGGGACGACATCGTTCTCTTCTCGAGCGGTATCACCGAGACGATGCTGACAGAGAACTGAACGAAGTAGGGCAGAAGATCGGACTGCGAATAAATCGGAAGAAGACTCAGTTCATGAGGAACGCCCTTTGCGAAGATGCAGAAATGAATTTGGAAGGCATCCCTATCATGGAGACGTCTTCTTATGTATCTTGGACGTTCGATGAACATGGAGAACGACTTGAGGAAAG